GCCGAACCCTTCTTTTTTTATCTGAGCTTGGAACCAGCAAAGTTGATGGCTTACTGGATAATATTGTAGTGAAGGAGAACACAGGTGAGGGCAACCAAATTGTATTTAACGAAAATTACAGAGTTAATTGGTAAAATAGGAAAACCATATCGTAAACCGTTAATTTTGAAAACATCAATCCATTGTCTGACATTTCACCGTTCATGCGTTTCATACAAATCCCATTGTGTTCCCACTCTTCCTTTCTTGTTGATCTTCCCCCATCTTCTGCTGCCAGACATTACGTTGACACTCGCGTCATATACTACTTATAAGTAGAGCGCACTACAATATTACTAATGTACACATTATGTGTGTGTGCATGATTCGTAGCTACTAACCACACAAAAACCCTATAACCTCATTAGTGAGTTCATCTTTTTTACATAAACAACTTATCTTTCTGTATTTTTTTCTTTACAGACAAGGACGTTTAGAACAAGATGAAGGATTAACATTTCTACCAAATACTATACATAAAGGTTTAAGTGGTTGTGCTTCACGTGGTCGTGGTCCTGGTAAAGCACCAATTATAAATAATATTAACAACAGTAATAATTCTAACGCACTAACTACTGTACAAGAACAAACTTCACATTTATGGTCTAATCGTGTATGGCTTGCACAATTAGGTCAATGGCGTGGATTAACCGGTGAAATTGCACATGCAATCACTTTAGTTTATCCAACTGCTCGATCATTTTATAATGCATGTCAATTAGCTGGAATTCAATCAAGTAAGTATATATATCAGAGTTTTTTTATAAGGAATAGTTAAGGTAGTTTAGCAGCCTCAGCATCAGCAGTAGGTCTCAACATACATAAAGGAAAAAGCAAAATTCTCCGATGCAACACAACATACACCAACCAAATCACTCTTGATGGAGATGCCTTGGAGGATGTTAACACTTTTACATATCTAGGCAGCATCATCGACAACCAAGGTGGATCCGATGCAGATGTGAAGGCACGGATTGGCAAAGCAAGGGCTGCATTTTTACAGTTGAAAAATATCTGGAACTCCAAACAACTTTCAACCAAAATCAAACCATCAAAATCAAATCATGCATTTGTCCATACAAATACTAAAGACAGTTTACTACTGTATGGAGAAGGAACTTGGAAAACTAACAAGAGCCCAATCATCCAGAAGATACAAGTAGTTATGAACAGTTGATCTACGCAAACAATACTTCGGATTCGTTGGCCAGACACCATCAGCAAGCAACGAACTGAGGGATTAGGAACACAACCAGATTCCAGTGGAGTAGGAGATCAGGAAGAACTCGCGTGGAAGTGGATAGGACAACACATTGCCGAAAGCACCTAACTGCGTCACGAGACAAGCCCTCACATGGAACCCTCAAGGCAGAAGGAAAAGAGGAAGGCCTAGGAACACATTACGCTGTGAAATAGAGAAAGATATGAGAGGAATGAACAAACATTGGACAAAACTGGAATGGGAAGCCCAGGACAGAGTTGGTTGGAGAAAACTGGTGGGCGGCCTATGCTTTATTGCTGGGGTAACAGGCGTAAGTAAGTAAGTAAGGTAGTTAGTAGTGGCTACAAACTAAATCATGGCACAAATACATGAAGTCAGTGACAAGTAAGTGTGGATTGAGTCATGTTAGTAAGTGTCGACTACCACCACCTGGTTGGGGTCATCGAGATAATGGTAATCTATGGTTAGAGACCTTGAATGACATGGCTCAAAATCGTTTGCGATGGCGTAGGTGCATTTACTCTTTGTGTTCTCTCTAATTCCAACCTTCTGAATTCCTCATCATCTCTATCTTTCTTTTTCTAAATTTATCTCACTGAATTATATTTCTTGAATAATTTCTTCGAACCTTAATCTTTCCGATTATTGCTAATTACTTCTACCAGATCTACTACTATGGGATTTGAATTGACGATTACGTCTCTGTGCGCTAATGTGGTATGGCAACTTGAACTGATCTACTTACGTACGACGTTCTACGTAGCACCTGACTGACTGACCCTTCGACGCCTCATTATCATCAGTCTTAATGATATGGTGTCTGACGAAACCTCGGCACAGATACAGAAGGCTAGACTGACATTGAATAACTTGCGTTATCTATGGCATAGGCAATATATCCGTCTACTAGCCAAAGGACAAGTCTACTGCCTATCAGTTCTCTCCGGCCTACTTTACGTGTATAAAATATGACCAGTGAGAACAGAGCATATTCAGAGGTTGCTAGTATTCACTCAACGTTGTCCTGGAAGCATTACTCGTATATCGTCGAACCTCAGAGTAAGTAATGGTGTTGTCAGGAAACGAGTACTAGATTAAGATGGCAAATCAATAGATGAAGTATTTAAACTTTATCAGTTGAGGTAGCTGAGACATGTGTTACATATGCCCAACCACCGACTGCCTCAACGAGCAATGTTTTGTGGTGTTGTAGTAGGTTGGAAGCAACCTAGGGGCGGCCAAACCAAAACATGGCACAAATCCATTATGTCACCGACAATGGAACTAAGCCATGTTATTAGGTGCAGAGTACCTGATTGGGGTCCACGAGACAATAGTAACCGAAGGTTAAAGATTTTGAATGAGAAGACAAAAAGCAAATATCCAACGCATCAATCGGCTTGATGGGTGCGGCGTATCCACCACCTAGGGGAGTTATAAAACCTTAAACTCCAAACCAGTGGTGCACATAAGTGGTACACATGATCCTGATGAGATAGATACATAGCGTATGTACCAATTACAGATCACCATCTGTCATAGGATTGCATCTTCCAACGTTGCTCTACTACTACTGCCTTATAGAATAAACCTGCCGAGGAATGGCTCCTGTTCCCGTTTAGGCACCCAGATAGAGCATCTCAATCCACACACACGAGCACGCGAATTCAACAATTTGTTTGGCGCATAAATATAACTAGGTACTCCTTTGATACCAATATTTATATGTTTCGGTAAATAATGCTGATTATTATTATGGATCCTACGTTTCAGAAGGTGGCCTCTTCGACAGCGGAGAACAACAGTCAAGATGCAAGTCGACCACAGGAATGTAGGGTTATTACAAAGGGGAAGAGTGTTTGGGACTTTAGATACTCGGAACCCACTCAGAAAAGGTCCTCACTTTGTAAATGATTGCTGAAATTTTGAATCTCCTTGTTTTCGAGCCAGTTAACCTTCAGCTTAAGTTTCCCACTCGGAAAATCCTTGACTGTCATTGGTTGGTGGATTAATTATTTTAGTACGCTCTTTTGTGGCTCTCCCAAGAGCGTTTTTATCATTGTATAAATAAGCCTGATTCATGTGCATAGCAACCTCATATTTTCTGGTCGCTTGTAGAATAAATTATTTCTACACCTTATCAAGACCTCTTGCTCTAGTTAGTTAGCAGGGCCTAGGGATAATCGGATTAGAATAGCCTATCGTGTCATTGTATCTTTTGTAACACTTGACTAAATAATTCTCAGCTAATTCCAATTGCTTAGTATTCTTTGACCACACAATACACTGGACAGGTTCCAAAGAATCAAAAAACACGGTGGAACAGGAAAAGATTCTATTCCAAATAGCAAAGGTTAAATGGAAATACGAAGCCCAAGGCCAAATATAGAAACAACATTAGTTTCTTTATAGTATTTACATGAGAAGCTTCTGGATAGTAGTAATTCACGTGATCGACTACTGTATTAGATTTAGCCAATCAGCGTGCAGCTAACAACACGAGAATTTTCTACCCTGTTCTCCAAGATTCGATCAGGCGCTGATTGGATTAGGAAATTGGCCAATCAGCACGCAGCTAACACAGTCATCCTTTAATTCCATCTTATGTCCCACTATAACAGTATCGTTACTCTACATTGTGTTTACCCGAATAAGTCGGACTCGTCATAATAGCTAGCGAGCATATCACAACTGTTGTTTTAAATAGTCAGCATTTCTTCCTTTCTTTCATTCTATTCAGATTCAAATCACTCGACAGCATCATCCGCATCATCGTGTTCTAATCGAATGACCAATCATCCATTTGAACTGGAATTAGCTAATTTAGAAATACGTCGTGGTGTTGGTGTCCTAATGACAAAACGACGTTTAGGTATAGAATTTGCTAGACGCCTGATTAAATTATTCACATCGACTAATCCTAATGAAATTGTCAATTAAAGAGAGAGAGGGTGAGAGAGAATGTTTGCTGATTTTACCTCTTTGTACAGATTGATTTGTGTACGATTATTATTCACATTTTTCTTCAATGGTTTTTTCGCCAAATAGTTCATGTATATTTATTGTAAATTAACATAACAGCTGTGAATACAAGACAATTGTTTTGTTGATATACATGACATGATTGTTACTGGCTTACTTGCTTGTTTGCGTATTTACTGAAGCCTGTTTGCCGTCAATTGAGCCATAGGTCACCGACTAAGATTGTTCAACCTATTCTGTTCTGAACCTTCCTTTTCAGTTCTATCCAATCGCTGTTCATTCTTTTCATGTGTGTCTCGAATTCTTGGAGTAATGTATTCTTTGGCATTGAGGATTCCATGTTAGTGCTCGTCGTGTGGTGCAGTTGAGTGATTTCCGCTTCTTCCTTTTATGCCTGCACGTAAACACGTCAACTTGATATATATACTTGAACTATTACGAGTTTACCCCTTAGTCGGAAAACGAGAGTGAGGATCTGGCGATACGACATGCTACTCGAATCCGATAATCCCAACCCTCATATTGAGCAAAAATAAAAAGACTTGATATGAAGTAGAACCTGTATTCTACAAGCATTCAGAAAGTACGAGGTCCGAATCCAGAAGAGAATCAGGATCCCGAACTAGGGATCCGGGTCCTGGTCATAAAACGTTACAGATAATGCGTATATATACATTTTGGTCGAATAGGAAACAGCATCGTAGTCTGTGACATTAACAGTTAAGACGACCAATAGGAAGTAACATTTGAAGTGTCATTGATAGTCAAAGGACAACCAATAAGAAACAACATTGGAGTACGTGACATTGATATCTAGGACGACCATAAAATTGACCAGTAGGAATTAATCAATAGGAATTGACCAATAATTCTCTTAGGATATTGGATGAATATCATAACACTTCCTTTGTTGGAATATCATTTGTTCTCTCCCACGCTAGGTTGTTGCTGATGGTGTTTGGCCAACGGATCCTAACTATTTTGCGTAGACAACTGTTTATAAATGGCTGTATTTTACGAATGATGGCTTGCATGGTTCTCCAACTGTCCACCCCATACAATAGAATTATCTTGACATTTGTATTGAAACTTGCGACTTTGGTGTTGGTTGATAAATGTTTTGAGTTCTAGATGTTCTTCACTTGTGGAAATTGTTGGGGACGTTTGATTCCCAAAACTCGCTTGATAAATGCCTTATTTTGGATTTCACGTTTGCCAGCATGGGCTGATCCGTTGACCTTGAGATTTCAATTCCCACCAGGAAAATCATTGTCTGTGATTGGCTGCTGTGTATTTTCGTGTGCTATTTTCTTAACTGTCACAAGGACGTTTCCAGGATGTATAAATAAACGAGAGTTGTGTGCTTGATTGTATTATGATTGCTGGGTGTTTGTAGAATATACTTTCTACGCTTACAAAGTCTTCTATCTTCAGCTTGGGATTCAAGGTAGCCTATCTGGATGCTGGTTCATGGTCTCGTTCGCGTTTATTGACTAAGGTGAACTAGTAATAGCTTCAAGCGTACCTAATAACGAACCCTACAGAAATACTACTTTTGCTTTTCTAATCAGTGTTTTTACATCTACATCACGCCTACCTTGTTTGTCAGCGGTGCGCCGCCCTGATGTATGTAAAGGTTTCCATCTATTCGAAAGTTTCTTCATCAAATTAGATTTAGTTGCTGCATCCTGTGTTGTATCGGAGGATCTTATCTTTCCCGATTGTTTATGTCAAAAGCTACTGCTGATGCACGGACCGCCTGCTCCTTCATTAGTTATTGTTGTTGTGTGTGTACGCGAGTAGATTGTAAGAAAGCTAGGAGTGGCCAAACCAAAATATGGCACAAATGCATGAAGTCACTGACATGTGGACTGAGTCATGTTGGTAGATGTAGACTATCTGGTTGGGGTCCACGAGACGATAGTCACCGATGGTTAGAGACCTTGAATGACATGGCTCAGAATCGTTTGCAATGGGGCAAGTGCGTCCACTCTTTGTGTTCTATGAAATTCTAAGCTTCTGCTTTCCTCATAATCTCTACCTTTCTCTTTCTAAATTTATTTCAATTAAATCATATCTTCTCTCCATAATCTTCTCCATTACTGTTAATACTTCTATTATTGCTATCACTGTTGGATTTGAACTGAGAGTTGCGTCTCTGTGCTAATGTTGTGGTATGGCAACCTGAACTGATGTACTTATGTACGAAGTTCTGTGTTGTATCTGTCTGTCGATCGAAGCGTTAGATGTGAAAATTATTAAGTTTCATTGAAATCATTTCATAAAAAAAACCTACTCCCGATGAACATACTCCGTTATACACAAGAATGAAATGGTTATCCAATTCTGACCAATTTTTTCATGCTGTTATAATGAGAAGACTGAGACCGGCGAGGAAGTATGTATTGTGCCAATTTACACTCTGAGTCAATTAAAAACGAAAACATTACATTGAACACCACTCTATTTGCACACCATCTTTGAGTCGTGACTTCCAACACTCCATCCTTCTTCTTCAATTCCTGTTGTTGCTTCCTTCCCTTCTTCCTGTTGTTACTCCATTTATTTCTTGCTTTTGCTCCATTCGCTTTTTCGTTTTCCTCTTGTGACCGTGGTGAGACTTCTTCTTTCACGTCCCTTCTTATACTACTTATATCGTTCGTATAAGTAGTACACACCACAATAACATTGATCAGTTTGTGATTTCAATGATATTTTTTTTATGCTGGATTGGTGGGTTTTTTGTTTTTCTTGGCAGATTCAACAAAATTTATTTTCATTTTCTTATTGATATGAAGGAGTTGAATTGATCAATGACTTTTTGTACTATTCATCTGTATTCTGTGCAAATTGCCTTGATATTTACAAAAAATAGTGACACCTATAAATGGCTATTAGGTTTCAGTAACTCTAAGCAGTAATGAAGAAGATTATGGGTTCGAAAAATATGATTCAAGAAGTATTATTCAGTGAGATAATCTTAGAAAGAGAAAGATAGAGGTGATGAGGAATTCAGAATTTTAGAATTTGAGAGAAAACGAACGATTTTAAGTCATGTTGTTCAACATCTCAAACCATCGGTTACTATCGTCACGCGGACCCGAACCAGTTTGTCTACACTTGCCAACATAACTCAGCTCTAAGTGATTTAAGTGTATGACAATGGAAGGTATTATTAGTTTTCGAATCCAGCTGGGGATATTGACTGTGATGAGCCCCCCAAATTGAACGGAATGAAATTCTTGAATGCCTTTCGACTAACACTGTTCTCTTTATTGTGTATAAACACTTATTTTTATGCTGCAGTTTATAAGTTGAATGATACTGTCTAGTTGATTTAAGGTGACTGCTGATATAGACTGAAGAAGCTTACAATGGAATTTGTTTGCTGATACATATTTCAGTGAAGTGATAATTGCTAAAGATTTCCATGCACTTTTGAATAAACTGTCCACGAAAATGACTGTTGGTAATAATCCAGTCAGTCAGCTATAACGTAGAACTTCCTACGTAAGTACATCAGTGTTCAAGTTGCCATACCACATTAGCACACAGAGAGATGGAATTGTCAATTCATATCTCTTTGGGGTAGAAGTAGTAGTGTGGTGGCCAATTTCTACGTGTTCCTTTGTCTTCGTAATTAGCTCGTCCAGACAATCGTTATTAAATAGCGTCTGACGGTTTATAAATCAGAAGGTAAACTCGAAGTGTTGAATACGTTTATTTTGGCACACCACAAATAGGGATAGCAAACCGGGCAGGCACACTAGCTTGTGAATTAATAAGATTAGGTTCGTATATATACATAGGAAGATATATAAGTCATCACGGTGTTTAAGAGATTAACATTAAAGCGAATAGGATGAATATGCGCGTAGGCGGTATACAATGCTCAGTCATACAAGCTCATACAAACCACGCAATAAAAAATACCAATGGTACATATAAGTTATTGTTATACAAATGGCTTGGTTAAATAAATTAATCGAAAGACTTAATCAAATTAAATGTGAGCGAACTCAAGTTTATGTGGAGGCACTACAATAGCAGTATTGGTGCGGTAATTAAAAAGATTAACGATCGAAAATACAATTTGGTAAGTATATCCTAGTGAAATAAACTTAAAAAGAGTGAGATCAAAGTGATGAGGAATTCAGACAATTAGGATTTGAGAGAAGACAAGAAAGAGTGGATGCAACTACGGCATTGCATACGATTTTGAGCCATGTCATCCAAAAGTCTCTAAACATTGGTTACTATTGTTTCGCCGACCCCAACCAAGTAGTGTAGATCCATGAGCATAGCTCAGTACAACTAGAAGAAACAGCAGTGACAGGTCAGTCTACCATGATACAAGTGTAGGATTACTTTCTGATTAATTGTTCAAATTAATTAAATTTATATGAGACGTGTTTATATAAAGTATTTGCGAGTAAGGAGGTTTAATTAATGGGTTCAGTAATGAAACAATAAGATATTTAGAGTTCTTATAATCTCACTTGTGGAATGCAACATACAGCAGTATGCAGATTGAAGGCATTTTCTGAAGAGCAGGAGTCGTAGGCATTGATTCATAGTAAATTTTCTCCCCGGGTCTTGGAAAATTTCTGGCTAAGATTTACAATGAGATTGTATCACCGATGACAAAGAGTTATAGTAGTTATAACTAGGAGTATCTGTACATCAGATTACATTTATAAATGTAAAAGATAGTGTATTGAGTATTTTCAGTTAGAGCTTTGGTTACGTCTTCTCACTAGAACTCCGAGAATTTCCTTACGAAGCTAGTCAATAGTGAGTTCAACCCTGTCGAGTGTAGGTACTAACTACCAAAGACAAATGGGTGAGGTCGCGCAAAATCCGTAGATCAATCAGAGTTGGACATTAACATCGTTGGGTGCCGGCCCAGTGGTCCGATAGTTAGGCGTTCGCGCACAATACCGAATCTCCCAGGTTCAAATCCTGCGAGGTGCAAGAGGCGTGGATGTGCACTGCTGATGAGTCAGTCCCATACCAGGACGATACGGCCGTCTTTCAGTGCCTCCAGGTCTCTGATGGTAGTCTAACAATGATTGATCAATGATTTCGAATGCGTATTG